CTAGATCATGTAAAATAAAATTAGCAAATAAAAATTAATGATACTGAAATTCAATTTCACTTTTCATCATATTGGATAATCTCAAGAATTGTAAATAAATAAGATCTAAAATGTACACTTAGAAACATTTAATGACTATATAAGTTAAAAGAAATAAAAAGAAAACAACTAAAACAAAAGGAAAATGTACACAATGTCAGATTTTACTATGCAATTTAATGTTATCATAATAGAATTGGTATTAACCAAAAGAGGTTGCTAACATTTTTCAATATAGTTATATAAAACAATACTATGTGAATCAACTTATATCTATCCTTATATAGAAAAAATTGAATTATTTTGAAGGGAACATGTTTTATTATGCAAAGTGCAATATATTTTTTATTTACAAATAATGAGTTTATTCAAGGATATAAATTATTGTATTTATCAAATGTTTCTCTGGCCTATATTTTGGCCATACAAACATTTCATAAATACAATATTTCATATCCTTGAATAAACTCTTTATTCTTTATATATATATATATATATATATATATATATATATATATATATATATATATATATATATATACACACAAACTCCAACATTTGTCTATATTTCTGAGGTATTGTAACTATTAAAAAATACTTACATTGTTGCCCTCATCTTTATTGTCATATTCACAACTGTTGTATGCTCTGGCCTTATTCAGGTGATATACATTGGAATTTTGAATGGAACCCTTTATTTAGTCCACATGCAACTAGAACAACCTAACCCCTTGGACTAAAAGGGGTTCAGTTCTAAATTCTGACATATGTCAGCTGAAGGCTGGAGCATATGATGGCTGAAACATTGAGAATATGACAAAGATGAGGACAACAGTCCAAACAATATAAATTGTGTAAATATATATGCCCCTTGATGTTCTAGGATTCTATGACCTTCAGTCTGTTATCAGAGGATTTTGTTTAATTTTTCTACTGTTTTGACTTTATAATTTCTTTTTATTACTTCCTAGGTCTTTGCTTGAATACTGTTTTCCATTTTCTTATACAACTCTTATTTAGTTTCACCATACATTCCTGCTTGGGGGTAAGGTCTCTTCCAGTGTCTCATTAGAAATATAAGCCATACGTATTCTTTTTTTTGTATGTGTCTCAGTCCTGGAGATAAAGGGATGTTGGGTCATGAACACACTTTATTATACTGTAAAGAAAAAAAAACAAACATTTAAGCTTGTAGTGAAGCTTTATTCTATGTAATTCGACTACTGTCCATAAGTGAGGTTTAACCATTTCTTTTATAGTCAAATAGTTTTTAAGGGGGAGACAACTATAGTTGCCTTCACCACAAAAAGAAACCTATAATACAAACTGAAAATTGTGCCAGTTTGGAAACTATGGTAAGCCTATTTGTAATGTTGAACCACAAATTTTCTGTTTGATTAATATCTAGAAAGATAAATTATTGTAAATGTTTTTAATAAAACATATAGGCTAAGATATTTATCATGTAATAAACTTTCTGACAAATTTCAATATGGGTGAGTTAATAATTTTATTTTGAAAATGTTGATTTGTGTGGTAATAAAATAAAAACATCCCATCTCTCCTTTCTTGCTTGTAACCATCCACGATAATAAATAAACATTTTCAGCACTAAAGCTGAATTAGTCAAATAAAGTTCATAAGCTTCTACTTAGAGTTGGTACTATATTAAAACTTGCATAATAAAATCTAACACAGTGTCAAAGTATTGAACAAGAGCAGAACAGCTTCTCCACAGCTGACATACACTCACTCAGTCAATTATCCCCCTAATAAAAATCTAGCTACACCAACAGCAGTAGAAATAGTAGTAACAACAGTCTTAGTAGTAATAGTAGTAGTAGTAGTTATCATGAAAACAAGTCCAAAATAATATAGTCAATGCACTGGCAGGCAAGTGTACAATAGCAGATGAAAGGAGGTAGGTAGAATGTTCCACCTAGTGACCGAGAAACAAACTACTATTCTGATAATGCAAAGGCTTTTGTTTGCTACCTGGTAATTTTGGACAATGGAATGTGGGTATTAAAGAAAACCTGTTATGGCCCAACAAATCCACTACAGTTAAACAGGTAGCTTCTCTGCTGTTCACCAGACAAGACCATAATTTTTCAAAACAAGGACAAACAGGGGATTTAATTAAGATCTAAACTGATACAAGCCAATGTTAAACAGTAATAATACAAAGAATGACAGCTGAAGCAAGCATGGCTAAGACAAATAATCTGAAATGATATCCTGGTAAATGTAATAAAAATGAATGATCCTTCTGTACAAGTAATGAAAACAGTAAGAATACACACTGGACAGGTATGACCTACAAATAATTAGGAATCATTATCATCCAAATAGTAAACAAAATGAAAGATAAGTTTTCTGACACTACCAAAAATTTTGTAGTGACATTGGAAAAAAAAAAAAAAAAAAAAAAGGAACTGGTAAAACCTTTCTCAAGGTAAATATTACAGTGTTTAACTTTCAATTAAATCTAAAAATTGTTACTCTATTACTGCTAAAAAAAGAAAAAAAAAAAAAGCATGTGGATATACAAAATTGTAACTCATATTTTAGCACAGGGATTCTCAAACTGGGGTATGTGTACCCATAGGGGTTGACAAAAGAAATTTAAGGACTATACAATCAAGTCTCTCACACTGTTGCATTTTACCTCTTTATACTTAGATGTTCAAACCTTCTGTCTTTTCCTGATAAGAGAAAAAATTGCTTTCTGTATTTTCCCTTTGATTATGAACTCATTCTGAATCCATTTCAAATTAATCCTATGTCACTTCCAAACAATTTGCAATTTGTTATAAGCCAAAGATCTTGATATCGCTCACTTACTAAAGTTTTGGTGTCCTATGGTGAAATCATACCCTAAAATGTGTCTAAAAATGTGTGGAAAGTCTTTTGCTGTTCCCAGACCTTTACTGTTGTGAACAAGGTTTTTCAGCAATGTCTGTGATCAAAACCAAATATTGTGCAAGACTTTAAATTGAAAATAATGTGTGTGTGTGTGCACCTCTGAAATGGTTCCCAGAATTAAATTGTTAAGAGCCAAGCTCATCCATCTCATTAAAATGCATATTGAACAAAATTATAAACAAATGCTATATATTTTATGATATCCATTCACTACATTTATCTGAAAGGATATACCAACAATTGTGCAGGATGAAAGGGTACATGGAAAGGTTTGAGAAACCCCTGTTCTAGCAAAAGTGGATCTGACTTGAAGGATTATGACTTCTGAATATTCTGAGAATTAAATGCAGTATTGTACTGGTATGGAAAGTATTAAGAAAAGAAAGGCAGTGAAGATCTGGTCAAACAATGTTCATCATTTATGAGGGGATGCTGAATAGTTCTTAGCTAATCAAGAAGCCTTTCCAAAAGATCAGATCTTAGGAAGTTGGTCAGGTCAAGAACTTTTCAGAATCCTCTTGTTTTGTCAAGTTCACAATAACAAATAATTTTACACGGACTAAAAGCATTGGAAGTAGGTATAAAGGCTATCAATTTGTAAAAAATGTTCTTTGAAACATTCTATGAATTGACTATATGGAAAATCTTATACAACAATTATCAGTTTTCACATAATTTTATTTTTTTCATTAGGTGTGACAGGTAACCATTAAATTCAAAGAGTACTTAGTGTCAAATAAGCTTGGATAGTCAGTCAAACATTTTTATATGTCATGTCATTTCAGGATGTGGCCAAACATGACTCTTCACCATTGCCTGTCTTTTATTGCTCTTAGTAATTTTTGTTCCTTTACCACTCCTGTTTGACTGTGGTCCTTGTTTTGCCATCCATTTACTGAGAGTAACCAAATAGGTCATTTTTGTTTCCCCATGTTTTTTTTTTAACCTCCAATATACCTTTTAAGTATTAAATTCTTCAAGCCTTTTTTCCACATTATGCATCCTAGAAATTTCAGCCCCAATCTTTGATTGTTAAAAGTGTGTGCAAGTGGTTTAATGAATAACAGCTCAGAATGGGAAATCAAAGAGCCAATTTTGAATTCCAGTAAGGTTTGTTTTATTCATTTATGTGTAAATACTCCAGGGGAAGGTATAAATCCATCTCCTCTCCCTAGCTATGGGTTAAATAGCAGGACTTATATCTATAAAAATCATTGTTATTCTCCCAAAAATTAGGACATCAATATTCACTTGCAAATAATAAAAAAAAGTTTGGGCTAGCTATAAATAACCTACAAAGACTTGATAAGCCATAAAAAAAAATTCCATCAATTAGTTCTGTTAGTAATAGTTTCCTTGTAGTTCCTATTCTCCCTAAAATTCCTTTGTTTCTTGCCATGCCATTCTCAGCATTCATTGGTAGAAACATATCTACTGCTTCAATTCTGTGCAGAAATACTCTAATATATCCTGCCATACAGAAAATTAGATATTACATAACAGTTCACCACTTTTTCTCTAAGGATATTTTTGGATCCCTTAATATTTTGCTCAGTTTCTGAAATGCATCTTTCAATTTCCTTCCTATCTGTTTTCAGCTTTCTGTGTCACACTTCCAATCACCTGTTACTATACTAATTAGATAGTTAAATTTTCTGCAACTTGATTTTTCATGCCCCTAATATATATTACTTGGATTTTCTCTTTTGCTGACAACAATGCATTTTGTCTTAAAATTAATAGTTCTTTCAGTTTCTTTTCTGTGTCTGCCATCAACAGTGCCATTTGTTTAGCACATGTTAAGTTAATGTCTGCTGATAATAAATCCTGGTAGGTTTTCTAGTCCTCTTAGAATTGTTCCACTGTACTGATTACAGAATTCCAGTGAGAAAACACATCCTCCAATTTTTGTGTATACCCTGAACTATCTACATCCAAGCTGTTTGTTACTAGTAGAACTTACAAATAACTTTATTTTCTGTAAATCAAGCTTTTCTAGTATTTCAAGTAATTTTCTATGTCATAACTTATGAAATGGTTCTCATATGATCACAAAAGTTAAGCAACATTGAGCCTGGTCAGTACCTAGATGGGTGACCATTTGGTAATACCAGGTGATGTAAGTTTGAATGTACCGGTAGTATAACAGATAATGGTTCAGAATGGGAAATCAGAGAGCTGAGTTCCAATTCCAGTCAGGTTTGTTATGCACAAATACCCTTGGGAAAGGGTTTGAATCCACCTCTTTTCAGCTATGAATTGAATAGAACCTGTAACAGAATATCATTATCTCCAAAAAGAATTCTTACAATCTAAAAATATTTTCTGGCTTTAAATAACCTGCAAAAGGTTGATAAGCCATAAAAAACAATCTTAAAGTGACATTGTTCTTGCTTTATTATAGATCTAATTCTGCCATGAGCTCTATTCATTAGCACTTTATTGAAATTTATATTTATGCAAATAATTAAGATACTACACTTGTATTTATATTAATTTGTAGAGTTTATGAATATATGTAGACAATTTTCTTTTGTATATACTGTATAAAACATGTTCTAGTTGAGTATTTAAATTCTGAGATGAGTAATTGTCAATATACTTTTGATATATTAAACTATTGTTCTCATCTTATTTGATGTTATTATAGATGTTTCAGCCAAGTACTCTCTGGCCATCATCAGGTGTCCATTGTTTGGCTGATATGGGATATCTGCTGTGTTATTTTATCCATGTGATGTCAGTTATTATTTATTGATGATGGCCAGAGGGTACATGACTGCAATGTCTATAATAACATAAATATCAACCAAGATGAAAACAATAGTTTAAAATAAACATATATATAAAACATTATTTGAAAGGCAACTGAAAGTATTCTGAATAAGTGACTCATTCCTTTTAATCCATAATTCTGTATCTTTTTCTCTTAGAAATCAGTGCACAATTATAATGTGTGTATGACATAATTGTTGACATAAAAATGAGTTGTGATGCTGCAAAGAAAAAGAAAATAACTTGTTTCAATCAATAAAGTTCCAATACTATAAACAGATTACTGTCACATGTTCTAAAGTTTTTATCAATGGAAGATTAATTATGTGACTTATCAAGCCAATTGTTTGGAGTTCACAATCATTTACACCTGGTTGCTTTGGTAGACATATGAATATTTATCTTCCTATGTCTGGTATTTCGACATTTTTATATATTTCATGTATCACTTAGGTAACCTTATCAATTCTCAAAGTGTATAAAGCTGTCAGTATCTCAACGACAATCTTGTTGTCTTTTATCACTTCATCCTGGTCAGTGCCAATCTTACCTCAGATTTTAATATTTCAGGAACTTCCATGATTTTATGAATTGTAGGTTTTTTCCTCTCCATTATCATAGATCACTCTAATGTATTTATTCCCTTGCTGTAGTACTGTTATTTTGTTCCCCTCCATATGATTGCTCCATTTTCTTTCTGTATTTATTTTATCTATTTATGCATGCCTGCAATGAGTATGTTTTGTAGTTTTTCAATTTCTACATATTTTTCATTGAGCCATTCCTTTTTTGCTTGCTAGCATTTATTTCCGATTTTTTGTTTAACCTTATATATTCTGTATCCTTTCTGAACATCTCTCTCTCTCTCTCTGGGATGACTTTTGCTATAGTCACTAATGCTTCACTTAAAGGGTTCAGACTAAGTTCCTGACCTGTTCCAAAGTTTTATATTTGTTCTTAATTGCATGTATTTGTTTGCAAAACAAGTTGTGGAGTTTGTTACATTGTTTTAGGCTTCTTTGATTTTTTTATCATTAATTTGAATATGACTGGAAGTGATTGCTTCTACGGTCAGCAACTATATATGTTTTAGAGTTTTAAACTACATTTATAAATTGTTTGTTGATGGTTGGGTAGTGTATTTGGTTTTTAATGTCCCTTGACAGGAACTGCTGTTTTACATAGAAGTATTTTTTTTTAAAGATAAACGTAATATAATAAAAGATGATCCATTAGGAACTGTACAAATGACTATGCAAACCAACAGTAATGTACAAACTAGAAATAGTTCACTCAATCCAAGACAAGCTATACTAATCTTAAAAAAAATCCTGCATTTTTGTTATTTTTTTTCTTTAAGGTGTCCTGTCTATTGTCCTGCACACTCACACTCAAGAAAACTTAAAGAAAATATGCCCATTGGATCTGGTATTTTCTTAAGTTTTTGTGCAGGTAATGAACACTGTTAAAAAAAATGAAAAGAAAGAAAAATGTCTCGCATCAAAGGCTTTAAAATTGGTATAAAATATCAAAGTTATTTCTATAATTTCATATAATTTTCAGACTACTGCATTTATTTTACTTGTTTTTAACATGTTTCAGCCAATATATTTTTGAACTTTCATGAAATATGTTGCATCCTAATAAAAATTAAAATTTCTAAATAAAACTAATAATTCATTTTGTGAACATTGGGAAAGAAAACTAAATATGTGAATATTGTGGAGACAAAAGTGCCTTCCAGAATATTCACATGTTTAGTCTTCTTTTTGTAACAAACAGTAACAGACTTTGTAACCTCAATGAAGTAGAAGCACATTTAAAAGAAAAGAAGTTAAATCATTGTAGGCATCAAAGAGTAAACATGCAAATCTAAAGTCCCTGAAAGTGACCCTATCTTAACATTGGTCTTCTTCAGGTAGTAAAACATGTTGGTGTCAATTACATTTCTGTCACCAAGGGTCAGGACAGGTACTAAGTCCTTCAGCTCACTTGAAGAGTTTTCTTATGACTTATTTACTTATCATCCCAATCTTTCAGTCGTCAAGTGGTTGGTCAACATTGGTCAAATCCCAATTGACACCTTTGCACATGATTTGAGTGTCATTTAAATCTCTGGCATTTTTGTTTTCCGAATAGACTTTTCAATCATCTTCCTTAAATACCAATTTCCATTTATTCTGAAAAATCATGAAGTTTTCTTGTCATTCTGTAACTATTGTAATACATATATGGTGGAATTCTTTTTAATGCAATATCTTTAGGACATGGACGATCATAGCTCTCTACAGGTTCCTTTTTATTAATATCTGCACATTGCAAAATTTATTGTGGAAAATAGTGTACTTTGTATTCTCCAGGGTTTGGAATTCAGATTAGGCCTTCTTGTAACTGCCAGACTGCCCTGTTATTTAACTCATAGCCAGGATGAGGAGTGATAGAACAGATTCATATCTTTCTCAAGGGTAGTAGTGTAAAAGTGAATGCAAAGGATTGGACTTTATCTTGGCTCAACTACTTTGTTTTCTGCACTGATAATCATTAAACTATCTGCATATCCTATGATGGAATTAACATGTTTTAATTCCATGTTTAAGTTTTTTTTATGGTTTGAATTTAAAATATTAGTATTAAATACTGTAAAAGGTCTTTTTTCATAACAGCTTTCAATGCCATTGGTTTTTTTTTTTTTTTTTTAACTGATTTAACAAAAAACATTTTGGTAAATTTTAAGGAGCAATTACTTAAATTTTGAAACAGCTTTTTCCATACTTTAACCATTTACAAATGCAAATACAGAACAACAATATAGAAGCATAAGTGTGTTTGATTAACTGTTTGCAAAAGTAATTATTGTTAAGAATTTTTTAGTTGCAAATAAAAACATTTCACATTGTATTACTGTGCAAACATCTAATGAAAGGAAGATTTAAAAAAAAAAAAAAAACAACAAAAAAAAACACAAAAATATATATAAACAATGACTGACTATAAAATTAAAAAGAAATAAGTTTGGAGAAAAGAGAAACATTTTTAAACTGGTTATCTTTCTTTGATATTTTATTTACCTGAAAAAAGATAGATATTCTCAACAATTGATAAAAACAGATTTCTTCTTTAAATTGGCCAACATAGATTTCATTTTAAATGTACAGAAAGAAAATGTAAAAATTGAGAGACTGAAAATTTGGATAACAAGTGAGCAATTCCTTTTTCCAGAAAAAAAAAAAAAAAAAAAAAAAAAAAAAAAAAAAAAAAAAAAAAAAGAAGTGTTTTGTTACCTCTGGCACACCAACATACCTGCTTACCCACTATGCACTCTATTTACTTACATTTATGGCTGTTCTTAGGTACAGGGTAAAGTCAGGGAAAAGGAAAAACCAGAAAGAAATAAAATCTAAAAACTTATGGAAAAATATATATATATATATATATATATATATATATATATATATCACACAATCAAAAGCCTTAGTTTACGTTGAAAACATTTGGTAAAATATAGATTTCTCTTTGTTAGTGTAAATAAGGAATGATGTTACTTTATCAAAGAAGATTCCATAAAAAGTAAGGCTTTTGACCTTGTTTATATAAACAGTAGCAGAAGCAGTCAGTAGGGTGGGCAAAGAGGAAAAAGAAGCATCATGTAGTTAAACTAGCTTTGGTTGAACTTTAGACCAAGACATAGGTTGGAAATAAGTTGATAGAATTGTGACCCATTAAGCCTCTGGTCAGAGAGCAGTCACATACAGATGGAACTTGAGTTGAACTTCAGATGGCCCTGACAAGAGAGGCATGACCCAAAAAAATATTCACCAAAGTAACATTACAGTACTAGCTTTTTTAACTAATGGCTTTTCTGACTGTGATTTTAGAAGACAAGCCATCACAAATCATAAAACATTTTTTTTCTTTAAAGAGCTGTTCTCTATCTTCCAAAAACACTGATAACAATAGTAACAAGAAAAAGGATTTAGATTTCAAATTATTTCTCCAGAATTGTTTATAAGGCCCGGGGGTGGGAAGGAGAACTAAATTAATGCATCACATTCAATAGTAACCAATAATTTTGGATCTTGATTAAGATTTTAAGAAGGTTTTAGGACTTAAAAATTAAAGTATTAGAAGCAAGTGTGTTTTATTTGGCCTTCATTTTGGGTTCTAACCTCATCAAAAACTAAGGATAATCTCTCAGATGTAAATCATTTTAATTCAATACAAATATTTTACATTTTCTTTCTTTTAGCAAAAATAACCAGCATTACTAACCCCTTCTATAAAAAAATAAAAATAGTCACCCACTTCAGCTTGTACAAAGAATAAGACTTTAGTTCTAATGAGAATGGGT